CGTGTGAGACGGACAGAAGATCGTGTGATTTGTTGCATTTTGTGGTTTATTTTGTCAGCATGGTTACATTTGTGTATTTAATTTGGGCGGACTATAATATCAATATAATGTTGATTGGCATACATTTTAGGGCAATGTTTACAGTGACAACCTGATCTGGCTTTGTGCGGTAATTCTCAGACATTATTTTCAGATGTTTTCTTTCCACATGTGGAATATAGTCATTGTTTTTAACCCGTGAAATTTAATTTGCAAATATATAAACATGAACAACACGTACGATAATTATAATCAAAACTACATACTTAAATTTAATGTCCATGTGAGTGTTTTCATGGTGTCAGTTGGAGTTCATGTATTTCATGGAAAAATGCCAAATAAAAAGCTGGAATAGAAACCTCTATATGATTGTGTTTCACACGGTGTGGTTCAGGTGAAGTGGGTGGTCCATTAATCTAAAGGTTGGTAGTTTGATTCCTGGCTCCTCCAGTCCGAATCTCAAAGTGTCTTTGAGTGAGATGCCAAACTCTGATAGCTGAATCAATAGAAATTCAAAGTGTTCAAAGGCACAGAGCAATTATTTCCAAACATCAATTTCCAATTTGTGCATGTATACGGAGAGTCTTCTTCACACAGGTGAGTTAGTGACAGAGTTACACAGGGATCTGTACTGGGACCAATGCGTTTGATATGATATAGGCTTTACTTATCCAGTATTAGAAAATGCTGTATACACTTTCAGTACTATGCAGATGACACAGAGCTTTATTTATCTATAAAACCAGATGACACAAATCCAATAAACTAAAAGCATGTCTTAGAGACACAAAGGTCTTTATGATGTCCGAATTCTGAAACACTAAGATTATTGCACTCAGAAACAGGGTGTCACTGTGGCAAAATTGTGAGGAACCAGGATACATCCTTTAATTAAACAAATTTATTTTTTTAATTTAATTAAACAAATATGTTGGATTGAAATACTAAGCATTAACTAAGTATTTTTTTTATTAATTTTTATATTATAATTTATTATGTTGAATTTGATTCTCCATTAACAACTTTCCAACCAACAATGAGGTATAAGTTATTTAATTTGCTTTACAGTGGGGTTCAACCAGGGCTGGACTGGGACAAAAAGTCGGTTCGGGCATTTTGACTAGAGACCGGCCCTCCAGGTATCATAGGAAAAACCATAAATCCTTTGAATGAAAACAAACGCTGTTGTCACAGTGATGTACACTGTCTTGTTGGTATATATGTATCAGTCTAATAAACTTAAACCTACACCATCCTCCCTATTCTGGCATTCTAAACAGTACCCGAAAGTAGACGGCTTGGTCGAGTTAACCTCCTGAACTATCTACAACACATGGTGAAAACCTGAAATTAAGACAGAGAAGACTAGAGGTGAGACATGACCATTACTGAATATTAAAAATAATAAATGACACATTTAAAGATATTTTCATAAACCATTCATTTGCCACATCAATAAAGAGCATGACAGGGCAAAATATTTTTTCTAACATGGCAACCTTTAAAAAGTGAAAGGAGATAGAAAGACAGGTGAGAAAGAATAAAACTTAATTGACTTTTTGATGGCATTTTACACACAGTACTGGTGCAGAATCTAGAAAATGTGGGAAAATACTGGCATCATATACAGTACTTAGCTACTTCTGAAGAAATTATGATGGGACCCTAAAAATATTACTATGTACAATAATGGATTTCCATACATTTTACATCAGATTAAAACGTTTGTTGTAAGATTCAGATAATTATTTGTTAAAAGCGAGACATTTTAAATGAGAATAAGAAAGAAAAGTATTTCTTTGTGCCTCCCTTTCCCTGTTAATGCCCTACCTGCCCCCCTGGAAAACTTTTCCTAGACCCGCCCCTGCACAGTTACCAGCTGTCAGCTACTTAGAAAAGGATCCTGGTGTTATTAGTCTCTCAGAAACAGTTCATAACTTAAATAAATTCTAACAACAGCTGATCAAGCTTAAAGTGCTGCTGTTGTTTAGCGCAACATCCGCTGGTTTCCTCTTTCTAGCGCAAAGTGGCCGATAAACAAACAAGAGAGAAAAGCCGATCAGCTGATCATTGATCAGTTTCATGACTGAAGTAGAAACAGGAGAGAGAGGGGAGAGAATGAGAGAAGAAGAGGCAGCTGTGCAGCAAAGACACAGAATAACTCCAGCTTTGTGTCTTTTTCATTGTAGCTGAAGTCCGGGACAAACTGTGTTCCTTTTCACCTCAATACTAAATGCACAATATTTTCTCTGAATACCAGAAGATTCCGTTTTTTACAGGACGGTTGGAAACTCTACTAACTAACCTTATAAATAAAATAAGATAAAACAAGTTCAACATCATTAACATCAAAGCACCCGCCCAGCAACTCCATCATGCTAGTTAGTACGCAGTACGAGTTATTGTAACTGACTGTAAAAAGTCAGCATAACGAAAATAAACCACCTAAACTTGGTTTATATCTGACCCAGATAGACTGCAGGTCATAACTTCTTACCTGAAGTTCAGTTCACGGTCTCGGGTCTCTGCTCCTCCTGCCTTTCTGTCATCCACCTGCCAGCTTGTTGCATCTGCTGGCCTCCATCACTTGCTAATGTTACTGAATCTGTGGAAGCTCCACAATAGCCACAACCAAACAATTGAGTTATTTTTACAAATCTCCCAGCATCGGGCCAATCCACCACCTTTCAGTGTTTATACCTTTATGGAAAAAAACGGAAAAAA